CACACACACACACACACACACACACACACACACACACACGATAGCGCTGGCATGTTTAGTTACACCTTCCCTATTCCCCGGATCCCTTTTAAACAAGACATCGGTGACAGCACCTAAGTGAGGGAAATGATGCAGTAAATGGACAATAAAGGAGTGAGGGAGATGGGGGAAGCAGTGCGCTGCTCTGATTTAAGATGGAATTTAGGTATCATGTGACCTGGCCATTCACTGCTCTATGTGAGCACAAAGTGCTTCCAGTTTATTTGGGCACTCAGAAACACATTTTTACAAGTGGCTCAGCCACAAGTACAGAATGCAGGATTGAGATAGATCAACTTCACCCACCTGTCTGTACTTAAATGTGAGCTCTCACTCCCTGAGGACCAGAGCCCCTTACCTCCAAGTTGTCTTCCGAGAGCCACAGAAACTGGAAAGGACTCAGACTACATCGACAGACATTTTAATCTTATGTCTTACCATTGATGAAAAGTATTTGGAAGATTAAGTGGAGACTGGTTTGTATGTCACCAGCTGGGAAGCTGGTTATGGGTTTGATTAAATGGCTGATCTAGAACTCTGGTATGGTGGGACCCACATGAAGTAAACCATTGAACACAGGCAATGTTCAGCACAGTACTTGTCCCTGGAAAAGGTTCAATAAGTACTAGGTATTATTTTCACTGGCAGAGTTATTTTATCAGTTGGGTCATTATGGCACTACTCTTTGTGCCATATTTCTAGGTCTATGTTCCATGCACAGTATTTCCCTCCTTGGAGACCAGATGGAGTTGGGAGATGCCTAGACTGCAGATCATGGTTTCAAGGACCAATGCCCACTCTGAAAAGATGAATGAATGACTGGTTAGCTCTTGCTGAGTGCAGTTCAATAAAACAAAGCAGACCAGCACAAAGGTCCAGAATCTAATCCATGCTATAACAGTTTAGAGCAGGTTCTGGGTGCAACTACTGCTGTCTTAGAAGAGGTGTAGAGTGCAGAGAGGGCTAATAAGGGAGGCTGCAGAGGAGCAGATAGTGTGAATGGAGCAGGTGCTTTTGTTCATTGCAGTGGACTTCGGTAATGAAGAGTGCTGAAAGGTGAAGAAGGAATGGGATTTCTCAATAGTGAGCAGGGCACACGGAAAGGGGTAGAGGTGTTACTTCGCAGGGCTATCCCCAGAAATGCCAAGAAACTTGGGTATGGATAAGTGAGAGCATTAGGGAGAGGGTCACAGGGCAGATGCCATTTTCTGCACAATAGCTGGCAAATCACAAGCACTCAGATCAGTTATGTGATGGGTGATGTTGCTCTGTATGCTGTGAATGTGTTGCTCTGATTGGTTGATAAATAGAGTGCTGAATGGCCAGTAGCCAGGCAGGAAGTGTAGGCGGGATAAGCAGACCAGGTGAATTCTGGGAAGAGGAAGGCTGAGTCAGGACTTGCCAGCCAGACAAGGAAGAAGCAAGATGTGAAGGCAGAACTGTAGACACTGCACAAGACAAGTAGCAAGTTTCACAAGACAAAGGCCGCTGCGAGGAGGTGGGAGGGCAAAGTTGGAGTTTCAGCTGAGTGCATCCATCAGTCCAGAGGTCCTCAGTGACAGCTCCTAAGATTCTTACCCAAACATCTTTGCCCCTTGACAGTGGAAGGTTCTAGTGTATCCTCCTCTTACAGGATCATATTGTGAGCAGGAAAGGTAAATGAGAAGGGGATACCAGAGCCCAGGAGACTGAGTTGTTTATTGGGCACACTCGCTGTGAGGAACAGCACTGCATGTGGTTTTCCTGGCCACATTACTCTGACAAGTGACTACCTTCTCTGGGCCCCTGCAACATGCCCGCAGAGTATAGCTACCATTTCACAAGGAGAACTCTGGGCTTCATAGTTATTTTGGAGCTTAAAAGTGTTAAGACTCTGCACCTGTAATGGAAAAGCAGCGATCCTTACCTCTCTGGGGTCTCCAAGCAAATCAAGAGCAAAGAATTTCTGTGAAGACAAAGGCAGAAGATGTGGTGAGCAAGCCTCCCTCTACAAAGACCTCTAGCTACGCTCCTGAGTTGTCAGGTTCTCTGTCTTGGTCTTCCTTGGCTTGGCCCAGTGTGGGAAGACTTGAGCGCTACTGCACACAAGTACATGATGATGGAGTAAGACAAGGCAGAATAGGCAAAAACAAAGAGACAGACCCTGGGACCCAGAGTGAAGCTTCCTGGCCCTGGAGTCCATACTCTCGGTGTGCCTACCTTCTCTTATATGCCTTTCTTCTTGTGTCACCAGGAGAATCACTGAAACATCTGTCTCTAAGCTTTAGAAATCCATTATATCT